ACTAAAAAAAAGTAAGAGAAAACATTAACACAGCATCTTGGTATGCTTTGGTCTGTTATTTACAACTCAAGGAAAGCATAAGAAGAGATAGCATTGAGGTCAGGGACATTCTCTTCTGTTATTTTTAACCAGAGGGAAGCAAAAGGAGAGATAGCACTGTGGATTTCCATCTGCCACTTGGTGTTCCAAGGTTAGACGCAAGCCCAGGTGTTCCTAGCTTGTGAATAGCTCCCTTGTCCACTGATGCACTCAACTCCTTCAATAACAGAATGATTTAATCCCTTGGTGTTGACTAAGATCAATATAGTTTTCAAAAATTTATGAAAATAATGTTTATATTGATTGAAATAAGGGAATAAACTATATGGAAAGCAGGAGATAAAAGAATAGGCAGCAAGAAAACCAACTCCTCAGAATCATAATGACATTAAGAGATAATTTGTAAATTTACAGGATCGTTGAGTAACTCATAAATGTATTTTAGTTTTATAAGAAACAGTTCCAAAGGATCAGTTATAAAGGTTTAAAGTTAACATGTTTAGAACTCACTGTTAAAATAGAGAAATAACTGCTTGAAGATGGGAGGATTCAGAGGTGAGATGGAGGTTAGAGAATCAGTGCCAAGTCAGAATTAGATAGACAGTGTTAAGTTCCAAGCGTTTCACAGCACTGTGGGATGGCTGTAGCCCATAATGATGTATTATACCTTTACTCAGCAAATCGAAAAGAGGAGCTCCCAGGCTCCAACCACAATGAAAACAGAGAGATGTTGTTTACACTAAATACTTCAGCACCTATTTTATGCATGTGTCAATAATTCATGTTGTTTCTATACGTATATACATACACATAGAAATTTAAGCAGAACTTGGCATGTATGTGAAGCCTAAATCCCACCACTGTCTTTCCTTTTTGGAATTGGTCTTCCTGTTGACCTTCATCCAGTTTGTAAAAATGCATGTATCATATAAAAAAAAAAGAAATTAATGCCCTTAGGGACAGGCAATATTTAGAGAGATTGACAGAGGAATACCCCCACTTCATTTTTTAAGATTTATTATTATTATTATTTTTATTGGAAAAGTAGATTTGCAGCAAGAGAAATATCTTAAAGCCAACAGTTCTGATTCAAATGGCCACAATAACACAGACCTGAGCTGATCCAAAGCCAACAGTTTCCTCCAGGTCTCCATGTGTGTGCAGAGTCCCAAAGATTTGGGCCATTCTCCATTGCTTTCCAAGACCACAAGCAGAGAGCTCCATCAAAAGTGAAACAACTAGAACATAAACCAGTGCCTATTTGGGATGTTGGCACATGCAGGAGCAGGATTAACCAACTAAGCTATCACACCAGCCCCAGAACCGCCTTTTTAAAATTGTAGTTTTGGATCTTTTTGCTTTATAAAAATGCTTAATGTTTAGAAAAGCAAAACATTTCTAGAGTCTGAAAGGTCCTTTGTCTAAGATGTTTCCATAGATTGTTGCCTACAAGAAAACCCTAAATAAATGTTAAAACTTTTAATTGTGTGCAGGTGGTAGGGAAGGCATGAAAAAATTTGAATGGAGCTTTAAAGTAGTATTTTATAAAATGAATTCAATGAAAATAAAAGTTTATTTTAAATTTTACTAGACAGGAATTTGGTCATAGACTTCATTTAGTAGTATGCCCTCAAAATTATGGGAGTCCTACAGATTTCACTCTTGCAACTGGGAGATTTGCTCAGATAATTTGGTTATATCAATTTTCTACTAATTAAAAGTAGAAACTGCATTTGACAGACTTGAGAGTCTGAATAGTCAAATAGAACATCTCTATTTAAAAAAATCCTGATATTTAATTGAATAGGAGTATATGTAGATGTGCTTAGGAAATATAAAAGGGAAACAAGGTTCTGGATGAAGTTGTTTAAGTGTCAAAGTGGCTGGTATCGTGTTACGGTAGACTAAGCCACTGATTACAATTCTGGCATGTCATATCAGAGCATGGGTTGAAGTCCCAGCTGCTCTGCTTCCAATACAGCTTCATTATTGCTCCTGAGAAAGCAGTGTGAGCCAAGTCCATGAGCTCTTCCCACCATGGGAAACTCAGAGTGGGGAGCTTTGCAGTCCAAGCCTTTGCAGCAATCTATCTGGTTGTGAACCACTAGATGGAAAATCGAACTTGCCCCCTCTCCTCCTCCCTCTCCTCCTCCCTCCGCTAACCTCCCTTGCTTTCTGCATCTTTCCCACTTTCTCTCCTTGCGCCCCCCTTGTCATTCTGCCTTTAAATCAATAAAATACACATTTTTTAAAAGTAGGCATAAAGAAGATAATGATATAAATGACGTTGCAGAAAACTGGTAAATTCGTAGTTCCACACACAACCTGCAATTAATCTCGTTCATCTGTCACTTGAAGGAAGGTGTTATCTTCAGTTACAGAAGTACAAGAAAACGAAGCAATAGCTGAAACCACACCTGCCAACTCTATAAACAGTACCATTTTCATTGTACATTGTATTTCCAATGACCAGAATTTTATATAAGAAGGCAATTATTAACAATTAAAGGAATAGTGTTTAACAGCTTCGAGACCTTACAAAGCGTGGTTTGAGGCTCCAGTTCTAATTTATCTCATCTCTAATTCATTTTTGGTTCTACACAAAGAGCATGACTATGTGCTTATTATTAGTGCAAGAGACTTTCAAAATATTAAAATTTTCACTCTAAATATATCTAGTACAATTTGGTAGACATATGACAAAGGGAAATTAAACTGTCAGGTTCATGCACAGTTTGCATCTGCTGCCTGCTGTATGAGCCCCATCTTTTCCCCAAATTCATTTCAGGACCCTTGTCATACTTTATAAAGAGAGAATGAGAAAGGGTTAGCCACAGCTAACTGTGTGTGTGTGTGTGTGTGTGTGTGAACTTTCAGAGTTGTTGGGTGTGGTCTTTAGAAAAAATGACTTGGCTACACCCTTTAGATGTAAAAGCTTAAGAACAGGAGAAACACTATAAAACATAGTTGCAAATTATAAATTGGATCCTCTCCTTCAAAAATTGCCAGTAAAGAATTGGGTTGAATTTTCATTAAACAATTGCCAGTATCAGCACTGTTAACAACTGAATCACACGCATCCTTTCTATCACACTTGTGCGTCCCTGAGGTTTCATAAATCTTTTCATTTAAAACCAACCTGAGAGTGCTTATTTTTCTGTATTTTTCCATGCTAGCAATTTATAAGTCTCCATTTTTTTAAATTACGTTTTATGACACAGTTTTATAGGCTCTGGGATTCCCCCAACCCCCCTTCATGCCCTATCCCCATGTTGGATTCCTTCCACATTGTTGCAGTATTGCAGTTCATATTCAGTCATGATTCCTTCATTGCGAGCATGTTCCATGCATAGAGTGCAGCCTCTTATTGTCCAGAAAATTAGGTTTCTTGATGTAGGGTTAGGTCCTTTATCCATTTCAATTTGAACTTAGTATATGGTGAAAAATGTGGGTCTATCTTCTTGTTTCTGCAAGCTGTCAACCAGTTGTCCCAACAGCATTTATTGCAGAGACCTTCCCATTTGCCTGGATTGTCGTCTGTTTTTTTGTCAAAGATTATTTGGCTGTATCTGTATGGGTTCCCTTCTGTTGCTTCTATGCTACTCCATTGATCCTCCTCTCTTATAAGTCTCCATTTTAGGACTCCCAATTTTTCTCTATACATCTATTCAAATAGTTCTATCACTGCAGCTGTAAAACATTTAGACTTAAGACATTCTATCACCAACCAGGTCAATGGAAGAATGGAAAAATTAATTAGCTGTAAATTAAAATCATAGAACAGATAATATGCTTTTAACTTTCCAGTGCAGAAAAGTATAGAATTGCAGCTACAACCTTAAACTGAAAGTGTTCATGAGATAATCTTGTAAGTCCTTTTCCTGCATAATTGGCTTAATTGTTCAGTGTGCATTTGCAAGCAAAAGACACGAAATAAATAAATAAATAAACCATTGATGCTTTCTAACTTAATGGTATTTTCACTGAACACCTGGATGCTTCATTATTTAAAAAATTTAGTCAAGACACTCAGAAATTAAATAATAAATTCCCTTTAGCAAATGATAGTTTGAATCTTGAAGAAAGCATTGCAAGTTAGAAAGAACAAATATAAAATTTATTTGGGAAAATTTGCAAAGATATTGTTTTTCTAAAATATCAAAGATATGCTAAAAGTTGTTTTCAATTTCTTTGATTTTTGTTTCATTTTACATATTAATATGTAGCATTTACTAAAGTTGGCAAACTGCTTATCATATTTGAAGATTTGCAAGTTACAACAATCCATTTTTGACACTTCACAATTTTTTTCCTTAATTACTTTTAATTTTCTAAGATTTTTTTTAAATCTTTCCAAACTTTGCAATGGAGTGGCTTAGAAAGTAAAAAGTTTTGAAAGACAAAATTAGTGTTGATAATAGGGATGAAAATAAAAATCACAGAAATAATTTTACGTTTTAATTTTTACTGAAAGCAAGCTAAGTTTGCATGTTTCACAACTGAGTTTTAGGAACATAGTTATGCTTCCCACTCTAGTCTTACTTGCTTGTATTCTCCATCCGCTAGCCTCATCATTCCTTCTTTTGTTTTTCTTTCAATTTTATAAACTTTTTAAAAATAAGTAAAATTAATCATATTAAGAGGGCATGCAAATGCAGCAAAAGATTGATGATTATTGCAGCTTTTTCTTTTGCAAAGAAAATCATCAAATTAAATCAGATACAGATGAAATGCCGAGAAGAAATGTAATTGTTCAGCATGTTAAAGCATCAATAGGCCACAACAACACATTTTGAGTTGTAATTGGAAATATATCTATGACAAGAGCCAATAAAGTAGATGAAGTAAATCAATTTTCTTGCTTTTTATTAACTTTGTGTTAAAATAACCTAAAATGACATATGCAGATATCAACTTGGATTAGTAACTTTGTCTTCTTTTTGTGTGTTTTCTGTTCCCAGAAAATGATGCCCATCTAAGGGGCCTAATCATCCGGTTAGAAAATGCTGATGCCAGGAACGGGGCTATCTTGAGGACACTGAATGACACTCTGGGCAAGTTATCAACCATTCCAAACGGTGAGCATTCTGAACACTTCAACTGTTACAGACTACGTTTACCCTTTACCACGTCCCTAATGCCACTTGTACTACTGTCAGAAGACACTGGCTTTCTTCCTTAGGAATTCATTTTAACCATCCACAAGGGACAACAAAATGACACAGCAAGCTAAGCCTCCCCCTCAGCACCTGGATCTCATATTGGAGTACCTGGAATCTGGTCCTGCCTGAGTTTCCAAAGTAACATACTAACTCACCTAGGAGACAGCATATAATGTCCCAACTAGTTGGGTTGCTGCCACTCACATAAAGAAACAGCGAGGATCCAGGCTTCATCTGAGTCCAGCCCTAACTTTTCTGGGCATTTGGGGTTGCAAATCACAGCCTGAAAGTGTTCCCTGCTCTCTCCGACACATTGCCATTTACATTAATTTATTAATTTCTATAAAAAAATAATGAGATGGTATACCCCAACTTCCATTGTAGTATTTTCTATTTTTTATTGTCTTTAGCTGGCAACCATAGAATTATGTTACTATAATGTCTCCATATTTTCTGTCCAAAAAATGTTCTATTGCTGGGAAAAAATAAAACCATCTGGGCACTCTAAAATATTAACGTACCACCAAAACATCTGTTTATTGTAGTACTCATAGCAATGAGTTAGAGACTGCTATCTTTCCATTCATCTCTGCAAAATTAAATACCTTAGTTAATTCAGATGTCAGAAACCCTACGGCTCACACTCTGTAATAAATCCCTACTTGGCAGAATTACTTCAGATAAGCTGTTGAACTTTAGTTTCTGAAATTATTTATTTTATGGATAACATTTCTGTGTATGTATAGCATTACATTAACAAAATTTGCAAACATTATTGAATGCTTAGGTTACATTATATAATTCTCATACTAACTGCGAAGTAGATAGTACTGTTGTCTCTACTTCACAGGTGAGACACTGACACACAGGATATTAAAAGCCATTGTTGAAATCCTGCACATATGAAGAGCAGGATTTTGGCCTAGTGATTGTGTCTCTTGTGCTCCATATCAGAGAACCTAGATTCAAGTCTCAGGATCCTAACTCTAGGTCCTGCTCATATGCGCCCCCCCCCCCCGGTCCCTGCCACCAACTGTAGACCCATTGGGGAATGAATCAATAGATGAGAGTTATCTCTCTTTCTCTTTGGAGAAAGATGGGGAGAGATGGGAGATGGACAGAAGAAATGATCTTCCATCTATTGGCTCTCTTTTCAAAACCTAAAATAGCCAGAACTGGACCAGGACAGTTTCAGAAGGTCATAACACAATTAAGGTCTCCCACTGCAGGTGGCAGGGTCCCATGACTTCCTCAGGTAGGCAGCAGGCTGAAAACAGAAGTGAAACAACATTGTAAGCCTGGGCACTCTGATATGACACCAAACTCCCTGAGCAGCATCCAAACTGCTGAGCCAGACACCCGCTTGAAGATCCCAAGGTCTTAACCACTAACCTACACCCAACAGCATTGGTATGCACAGTGACTGTGTACAAACTATGAATAAGAAACCAATATACTTTTTTGTTACAACATGAGAAATAGTGAAGCTAAATGAATTTTACTTTTTTAATATTAAAATACATTGAGTAACCTTTTGTTTTTTCTTGTGCACATTTCTTTTTTAAAAAGTTCCCCAAACTGAAAATAAATAGAAACATACACATACAAAAGCAAACCTTTTACTAAAACTGAAATAAATTTATTCCCCACCCCTTGGAAGATTAAATCTTGAGCCTAGTTCCTGATAAAACTATGAGTTTCATGTGGATAAATTTCTGCCTCTATTATGTTCTGAAGCAAATCACAATATGCCCTTATCCAATGAACATTTAGGATAATCATTTTGCTATTTTGAAAGCTATTCACGTATTCATGGCAAAGGTCCCCGAGAAAATTTAATTTAGCTAAAAAATTGGCCTAATTTACTACAACTGGATGAAACAAGGCCTTTGCCTTATAAATGTGTCCCTGAGCCCAGCGGCCGCAGACTCTCTCTGACAAGCATGGATGAAGCCAGTGACTAGATCTTTTCTTTCCTATGCTCCTGTGTGCTCACAGACACAGCTGCTAAGCTGCAAGCTGTTAAAGACAAGGCGAGACAAGCCAACGACACAGCCAAGGAAGTGCTGGCCCAGATTAAAGAGCTCCACCAGAACCTTGACGGTCTGAAGAAAAATTACAAACAACTGGCAGACAGTGTGGCCCAAACCAATGCTGTGGTGAAAGATCCTGCCAAGAACAGTAAGATCTACTTTTTCAATGATGTCATTAAACTCTTCAAACTCTGCATGTGCACTGGACTCATAAATATTAGATCTGGAAAACCCCTCAGAAAGGCATAGCCCGCCTTCCTCCTCAGAAACGGCGCTCAGGAGTTCATTGAACAATAACTCTGAGCCAGAACGCAAGTCCCCCAGCCTTGTTCCAGTGCTTTCTAGATCTCAATTTTGTCCAGTTGAGTTCTCCATGGTTATCTGGGGTGAGGATGCCATTCCTTGAAGCCCTTTAGTGTAACAGAAAATACAAAAGTATTGGAGAAATTTTGTGCTCAGATTTGGTGAAGGTTCATGCAGCATAGTGACTATAGAACACAACTATTGATGGGTTGTATGGAAATGGCATCAGACTCAAAACCTTGATAAGTAATTGTTTAAATTCTAGGTATTTAAGGAGTTTCTCCTGTTTATAAAGATTATTTCTTCACACCTGTTAAGTATTGTATTATATAATGTGATGTCCATATGGATTATATGACAACATTGGGAGAAACTAATAATTTAGTTAATGTGATAAATATCAGGATTTTAGGGGTATTTCTTTTCTAACACATGATAAGGTACTGTCTTGGTGTTCATTTTAACGAGAGATGCTTGAGTGTTTGGACTTTTCATTTTCAACATACCAGCCTTGTCATTGAGCATTGAAATATGTTAAAGTACAGTGTTAAAACATTGTTAGTGACAGTGGACACGTTACAGCTCTGATGCTGTTTGAATGGGGCAAGAAACCTCATGAGCACCATGACTTAGATAAATGCTGAGAGTCCTGTGAGATTTTAGCCACATTAACATGATCCTTTATAAATACAAAAGAGTACATATACCCAGAACACCTTTCATTGAGAAGGAGCCTTTCCTCAGAAGTTATTAATGGAAAAAACTTGGTATGTTTTTTATTCTTTGTAAGCACAGAAATAGCTGCTAATATAATTCAAAGACTTCACCTAAATAATTTCTGATACATAACAAATCACCATATTTCCACCCAAGTTTGATGAAAACTTTTGAATAAATGCTACTATGTATAAAATCATAATTATAGATTTTATTCAATTTTGGATTTTCAACTTTGATTTATTCATATTATTTTATCTTAATAGCATCCTGAGCTTTTGATGCCTGTTATTTATTTATAAATATCACTGTTTCTGTTTTTCTTAAAATGTTATAGTAAATCGTCTTTTGGTTTAAAAATAGCTTGCTAACAGATATTTGAGAACTTAAAATATATTTGTTTAACCTACAATGGGGTGACGTTGTTTATGAGTGCCTGTCATGAAAAAATATCATAGTCACACTATCTAACATCTATAGAAAGTATTTCTCATGAATTTTTAAATTTCTTTTTGTTTTATTTCCATATGAAACACCCTGCAGAAATCAGTATGTATATGTTCAGCTGCACAAACAATAATGTTCATGCTTTGTTGCCTGTCGCCAAAAGCTTCAGCTTTGCATGCTCACTGTGCTTTGGTATTGCTTTAAACATAGCACTCTCCTCCATCACAGTATTAATGCGAGATATGTGAAAGAATCTCCCTCTGCAAAAAGGTGCTATGTGTTTAATAGTGTTTTGAAAACTTAGTCAAGTGATAAGCCATGAAAATGGAAAACTAAATCCCTCCACAGATTTAGGTAAACTCCAATGGTTGTCAAGCACCAAAGCTCAGATGGCCTCCTTGAAGCAGAACCCAAAGAGAATCATTTTGCATTGTTGGTTTTCTTTCTCAAGCCCTTTTCCTGTATAATTACTCTCAACTTAAATGATTGGAGCTGGCATCATAGCATAGTAGGTAAAAGCCTCTGCCTAAAGTGCTGACATGCCATGTTGGTGCAGGATTGAGAACTGGCTTCTCCATTTCCAATCCAGCTCCCTGCCAAAGTGTCTGGAAAAGCAACAGAAATAAATTACTTATCCTTGGGTCTATTTCCCCTGTGGGAGATCTGGAAGAAGCTCCAGGCTCCTGGCTTCAGACTGAAAGAAATAGAGAATGTGCCATGTACTGTTTCACATCTCAAATGCTGTAACAGCAGGAATAGTCCATGTGGAGGCCAGATTCTCAGTGCTAGATTCAGGTATGCCACAGGGGTGGCAGGGGTCCAGATACTTGGCCATCTGCCATTTCTTTCCCAGGAAAGTTAGCAGGGAACTGAATTGGAACTTCAGCAGCTGGGATTGAAACCCATGACCATATGCAATGCTAGCACTGTGAGCAGTGAATTAATCCACTGTGTCTCAATGCCAGCCCCAGAGATGTGTGTTCTTTCCAAATGACCTTAGCTATGCAATTTATGTTTATGATCATGAATTCGAAACACCTGCTTCAAAACCCTAGATTAAAATTGGTAACAGTTTGCTTCCTTTAGCATATATTTGATTTATTCCTAAGGTTTAGTTCTCAGGGTTAAATATCAGCCAGAGAATAGATCGTGTGAAAAATAACAAGGTATGTGGCCCAAGACCACAAGCAGTTTTACTTTTTTGTCACAGGCACAATGACAGAAAGACATATGATGTATACTGAATCATAGCATATATGGCATATTTGGGTGAAAATACCCACTTTCCAGGAGCACAGCCCTGATTTTCCATGTTGTCTGCTCTTCCATGAGAAACACTAGGAGACCATGGATCACTGTTACCTTTCAATTATTTATGGGTTGCAATATGGAAAATGTGGAATTCAAACTTTTATTTTATTTTATTACCTTCAAATATAGGTTTTTAATATAGTTCAGTCTCATACATGCATATATAGAGCAGGAAAAATCAACTATTCTTCAAAAAGGATTTGAGCTGCCAAGTGAAAGATTTAATTAAACATGACAGAGGCCTTCAGCAGAAGGATTGTTCAACATCAGATGTTCTTCAAAAGACATTTTGATAGTGTCTCTGTTTAAGATATACAAAGAAAGAAAACCAATTTTGTGTGAGAACTCTGATTTAAATACAGTCTGGCTTGAACATACCAGGTGACATTTTTAAAGATGCTTTCATTTTCTTGCTTCTGTGATTAAAATTCTATTCTCTAAAGGTTAGATTTTTAGCTAAAGCTAAAAATTAAGCATTAAATTAAGTCCATTGAATGTGCTGCCTCCAGTGCCAGTTTTCACCTTAATCACAATGCCAAAGACTTTGCTAACATCTCCTCCGGGCTGCATGAATCTTAAATGAAACATTCCCTTGTGTCACATGCCATCATACACTTTGCTTCAGAAGCCATGGCCTTGCTTTGCCATGTGGATAAGATGAACTCTGCAAAGCACTTGCTGTGTTAACTACTGCTTGCACTTGTGTTAACTGTAGGTATGCATGCAGGTGCACTAAATCTGTTCCATGCAGTTGCAGATGCAGATGCTACTGTGAAAAATTTAGAACAAGAAGCTGACCGGCTCATAGACAAACTCAAACCCATCAAAGAACTCGAGGATAACCTGAAGAAAAACATTTCTGAGATTAAGGAACTGATAAACCAAGCCCGAAAACAAGCCAATTCTGTAAGTTCTTTTCATCTTTAATGTCACTAGTTGATTAGATCTTATCGCCCTAGAAAATATCTTCCCTGGACTCTGTCGAATGGCCTCTGGTTCTTAGCCTTTCATTTCAAGCTATATGGGGTAGCATAGAGGGAGAAGGATTGGATTTTTTTCCACTAATTTCAAAATACATTTCATGAGAATAATAATCACAACAGATTTCGTTATATTGAATTGTTGTTTGAACAGAGTAGTAAAAATAACAGAAATAAAAACTTGTTCACTACATATATTAAAGGTTTGATGAGAGGACTTTGTTCTTGATACAACCAAAAGGACAAATGGGGTATAGAAGGAATGAGTGAACAGTTATATGGGAGCAGAAGTTAACCAATTATTTTACAAATGGTATAATCTTTGGTATAAGTAGCAGTAACAAAAATTATTTGGTTAAAATATTTACAATTATGTTTCATTGACAGCAGGCGTTAGCTAACATCAAAAGTTTGCTCTTGCTCTTTGTTTACCCAATTAGAAAATCAGTAGGTTAGAAGAACATCTTTCAAGAACATAGCATGCTACTCAGCTAGAACACTGAAGTGCCACTGTCAACCTGTAGCTTGGCAAAATCATCCTGGAATAATTTTAGAAATAGAAAAAAAATATGTTTTCAGGCTTTACTATAACTCTTTATACATATCTGAGTCTTCCATCTCTTTAATCCCACTGTTCAGTATCTTAACTGGAATGAAAAGTCTTTTCTAAATTAATTTACACATTGCTACTCAAAATATACTCATTTAACCACATAATCCATTTTCTTCCACATATATGTGTTTGTGTCTATATATATACACATATATATACATATATGCAGACACAACCAATACCTCTAATCAAGCATAACACCATTTAAGGTGAAGCCTAAAAAGTAGCTCATGTATGACTTTAAAAAACACTTTAACAAAGGAAAGCAGTTAAGACAAGATGTGTCTATCTTGTGCTACAATGAAACATAATCTTGCACAGCTTGGGACAAGGCAAGTGCCAGTGTGTGAAGGTGCAGTCTAGTTTGCCAAGAAAAAAAATTGTTCAAATGAATGTTAAACTGCAAATATCAATATAGACTCAGGCTTATGGGCTCTTCAAAGATATGTTAAACAGTTTAGGTTAGGAAAAATTGCATTCAGAGAAGAGTGCCCCATGATGACACCCAAAAAAGGAGCTACAGTATTTCATTCCCTACGCAGACACAAATTTGAACTGCCATATATGTATCAAGCTACCTTGAAAGAAGCTAAGATAGGGGCCCTGCACAGTATGCTAGTGATTGAAGTCCTCGCCTTGCACACCAAGATCCCACATGAGTGCCAGTTCATGTCCTGGCCACACTGCTTCCCATCCAGCTCTCTGCTTGTGGCCTGGGAAAGCAGTCGAGGATGGCCCAAAGTCTTGGGTTCCTGTACCTGCGTGGGAGACCTGGATGAAGCTCCCGCCTCCTGGCTTAGCACTAGTTGTTGCAGTAGCTTGGGGAGTGAATCACCAGATGGAAGATCTTCCTCTCTGTCTCTCCTTCTCTCTGTATATCTGCCTTTCAATAAAAAATAAATAGATCTTTAAAATAAAAGGAAGAAACTAAGGCAGTCAAGAGATTATTATACCTGGCACATGTATAATGATTTTTATTTATTTATTTTTATTTGAAAGACAGAGAGGAGGAGGGGGGAACATTCTTCTTTCACCACATTTACTCCCAGGATGGCCACAATAACCTGAGCTAAGCCAGATAAAAGTCAGGAACCAGGAGCTTTCTCTATGTCTCCCAAGTGGATTTAGGGGCCAAGTGGCTTGAGCCATCTTCCCCGACTTTTTGAGCTCATAAGCAGGTAGCTGGACTGGAATACTGTGGTTAGGAATCGAATTTGAACCCACATGTGATGCTAACAGCACAGTCATAGGATGAGCTTGCTATGCTGTGGTTCCAGGCCCCCTAATATAATTTTGAAGACTCGCTGTTGAAGAAAACATGAAGGGAAGGGTTGCTTGTATGACTTCTCTCCAAGTAGCACAGCCTGGAGAGAAAACTCACTCCCTTCTTTTGGAAAGAAGGAGCAATTAAATCAGTTCTTAGATCTGAAACTTGATACCAGAACCACTACAGTTAAACCCATTGCCACACAGGACTCCGTGGCCCCTGAAATTATGCCAGTAGCTGTACACTGAGCCTTTGGATTGTTGTTGGCAAGGAATTCAAGGAACTGCCTCTGCCACTCTGCCCCATCCAACCTTCAGAAGACAACACAACAAAACTCAAGCCTTTCGAAAGTGTTTGCCTGGAGCTAATTATTGGTTTTCCCTTGTAAGACACAGCATCGGATGAGTCCCAAATAGTGTCTATTTTCAGATTAGTGCTTGCAGATTGGGCCTGTACATCCACCCCAAAGATAAGGTAGGTATTTCTTTCTCAGTAAAAGGCACTCAGCATCAATACCAGTCACACATAGAACTGGCACAAACCCCAGAGACCAAGAAAGTCCAGGTGACACAGCTTAGTATCAGCCTCCACGGCCCTCACCATCCTTGGGCATACAGCAAGGAATAAGACTTCAACTACAGAGAAGTAGAATGGGTAGTGAGTTCAGGTCTTTTCTCTGAAGTTCAACATCAGTCCCACCATAGTGAGGTCCATGGCAGATAAATTCCTAAGGTCCATATTCCACAGATGGAGCCTCTAAACCCACCCAGGCATCAGTCATGGGCCTGTGCCCTCGTAAAACAGTTTGTATTTCAGCCTGAAATGCTGCCAACCTTATGTGCAATGATTGTGCCTTAAGCAGAGTTCTGTAGCTGGGGGTGTAACCCATTTTAATTTCAGCATAGATATCAAGGGATTGCCTTTACTTCCCTCCCACAACTTCAAGTAGACAGCAAAGAACAGGAATCCAGTTGATGGGAGAAGGACATGGTAACTCAGGGGAGCTCCTAATTGTCCATGTTCCCAGGACCTGCTCATGTCTGGAGTCTCAAATTACCCTGGAGACAAGGAGAAATCAGTGGCCCTAGTCAATTGGAATTAATAACCTCTTCTGTGCAGCATCAGCTAAGGCTGGTTGCAACAACATTCATTTCAAGAACAGGCAGCATATGGTATTATGAACCTTCATCCAATCTCCATGCTGCACTAGTCTAGAGATGAGGAAGCTTCAAGTGTGGCCTGGCATTGTGGCATTAGTAACAGCTGTACTGCCACATAATTGTTCTTCCAACATGTGTAGTACAATACAGAGTAATTATCCATTTTGAAGCCTGGAGCTATGGCTCAGTAGTTAAGTCCTTGCCAAGGCCCTAAATGGGCACTGGATTGTATCCAGGTTGCTCCACTTCCCATCCAGCTCTCTACTGTGGCCTGGGAAAGCAGTGAAGGATAGCCCAAAATCCCAGCGTGGGAGATCCAGAAGAAACACCTGGCTCCTGCTTTCAGATCAGTTCAGTTCCAGCCATTGAGCCATGGCAGGCACTTGGGGAGTGAACTAGTGGACAAAAGATCTTTCTTTGTGTCTCTCTCTCACTCTGTAAATCTGCCTTTCCAATAAAAATCAGTAGATTATTTTTAAAATTATCCAATGTGAGGGGGAAAGAGGTTGTTACCAGGACATGACATAGGAATCTGGGACTATTTCTTGCACAGTGAGACCCAGAACCAGGTATAAAAACCCTTGGCAACTGACCCCAAACCTGTGCCAATGGTGTTACTCCTTTGTACATATTTCTCCACATCATTCTGAATTACACATCAACTGGAGATTGGGGCATGGTACCCTCTGATGCTAAAAACCCAACAATAAAGCAACAGTAAGTTGTGTGTGAATGCATTGTTATACCATCATATGATGCTGAAATAGTACAAGCTTTTATAAACTCAAAGAAAATAATCAGAATTTACACAAATTTTAAACAGTGGAAAACATTTCTAATTCTTCAATGAAAGACTGTTTTCTGCTGATATTCATCAAAAACCTTTAGAGAGGTGCCAGCATGATGGCGTGGCCCCTGATCCTGTCATCCTCTACAGGAAACCTTTCAAGTTCTAACTGCTCCTCTTATGACCCAAAAACTCTCTGCTAACGCATCTGGTCCGTGGCAGAGAGTGGCTCAAGTACCTGGGCTGCAGTACTTTCAGAGGAGCTCCAGAAGAAACTCCTAGCTCCTGGCTATGGACCAGCCCAGCTCCAGCTACTGCAGACACCTGGGGAGTGAACCAGGAAATGAATCAACTCTCTCGGTCTTGCCATCTCTCTGTATCTCTGCCTTCGAAATAAAATAAAGAAGTCTCAAAAAATAAAACCCGCGGTAGTACCAAGAGTTGGATTTTCACATTTTATATGCATTCTGAAGTGTAACATTTTTAGAAGAAAAAGCAGTAAATATTCTTCTATGAATCACATTTAGTAAGTTTCTCAGTGATAAAATCTGGACATATGGACTTTTTTATTGTTTCTTTTTTCACTGTAAGAAATCTAAGACTGTGCCTATATTCATCATCTATGAATACCTTCCCTTTGTCTCACAAAAAGATGAAATCCTGGTGTGCTAAGTACATAAACCTGTCTCCAAGAACCTTGTGAAAGTGAATTATAGTGCTAAGAAATTCTAAAAATTGTCTATGCCTTTTTAGGAAATTTTCACCCCCTTATTTAGATGTGCAGATTTTAATAAAATCACTACATGTTACAGAATATTAGAAATATTCAAGCAGCTGAATTTTTAAAATTTAGTTTTGTACTAAAAGACAATTCCCTCTTTCGACTTTGAAATATATTTGCAACCTAGCATGAATATTGGTATATGAGCCTCACGTATATTTGATATCAAAAGAAAACACCATATTTAGGAATCAAAGACATCTGTCTTAAAATATCTAGTTCTAAAGTCAAATGGCTAAAATATTTTCCAATGCCAGTTACTAGATGAAAAATGCAGTGGAAATCTGTTGGATAAAATAGGGTTCTCAATAATGTTTAATTGAATTCATGATGATTAACAGGTGTATCAGAAATGCATAACAATGGTTTTTGTTTGGCTTTGTTGCTAAAGGATTCACAATAGAAATAAATGGCACAGAAGCAGGTGTTTGGCTTTACTGGTTGAGAGTGCATTCCATGATGGAGAACATGAATTCAATACCTGGCCACAGCTTTGACCCCAGCTTCCTGCTAATACACATCCTCAGAACATTTGTAAAAACCCAAATAATTAAATTTCTGAAATCTGTGTAGGGGACTTTGAGAGCATTCCAAGCTCCCATCTCTGTGCCTAGTCTAGCCCCAAACCAGCCCTTGTTATTGGAAGCATTTAGGGAGGGGAGTAAAGCAGCAGGATATAATTAATTTCTCTTACCTCCCCTCCCCTCCCCTCCTCCCTTCCCTTTCTCTCTTCTCCTCTCACCTCCTCACACATCCTCCCTTCCACTCCCCTCCTCTCTTCTCTCCCCCTCTTCCCCAACCCTCTTCCATCTTCTTTCCTCCCCTCCCCACTGCCTTCTCCTATCCTATCCTCTCCTTTCTCTCCTCCATCATTCTCTTCAGCTCCAGCTCCTTTCTTCTCTCTACATTTCACTGTCTCTCTTCCTGCTTCTCAAAAAAATTTTTTAAAGTTGTAAAATTAAACAATTCTAAACAACCTATTTCGGAAAGTTTGTGTCTCCGAAATTTTTCCCACTTGCAGGAGGGATTGAGTCCAGATTTCCACTAAAGGACTTCATATACATTTAAGATTTTATTTACCTGTGTTGAGCAAAAGCAATTCCTATAATTAGAAATCAAAATACAAACCATTTAAAAGAAAAGAATTAATAGTTTTGGAATGGTTGCCAGCGGTTTGGGCTGCCAGGATTCTTCAGGTATTGAAATACTTCAAATCACTCTCTAGAAGCAGGAAATCCAAATCGTTTTTATATGAATAAGTGTTCATATGAGTAAGAGTTATGCAATAGATTGTTTTATAAGATTAATTGCTGGTATATTGGGTATAAAATGTCATTGGGTTCATGGAACCATAATTATCTATATATGTTAAGTATACTCTAAAGTAGGTTAATTGTAACTCCTGGCAACATTAAATATCCTTAATTGCAAAATGCCCATTCTCCTGCACACTGAGTTCCCAGGTGAGCTCTCATTCATTTGGTGATTTTTCAGTTCTGGGGCTCTATTTTCCATGCTTCAGCAGACACTGTTTCCACAGAGCCCTCATTTAGTCTTCTGTTGTTTCTTCCAGGTTTTTCTAAGTAGTGTGAAACACACCCGGTGCCCGAAAAAGTCACACATTGCCTACATATTTAGTGGCTGCTTTTCTAAGCAGTAACTGAGATCCTTTATTTATTTAAATAAAATGACTTCTCAGTGATTGGACGAGGCCTAACATGACTCTGTGGCCAAGCCTGAGAGCATTTGTGAACCACAGATGAAACAAAGCACACATAGCTACTTTTGACTACCACTCCAGCTCCATTATGAATTCAGGTGTGATTTCCCACCAGGGACAGCTCAGTATGTTGCTCAGTTCTCATCAGTTCCAGTCGGATCTTGATTTACCGCTCTCTCTGATGGTTTCATGATATCAGTGGCCTTCATGGTCTGCCTCAGATGTTAAGCTTGTTCTACACAAGGTTTTCCCTGATGACACTTTGGTGTACTTGCAGCAGTTACTTTGTTTTTATTGTTTCTGTTTAAGAAAGAAAAAAAAAAAACACTTAGAGGGCTTAGAGGGCCATACTTTAGTTCTGTGCGCTAAGTTTCTGCCTTTGGCACCGGCATATTTCAGTGCCGGTTAGAGTCCAGGTGCTCCGATCTATGGCCTGGGACAGCAGGAGGAGACCCAAGGGAAGTGCCTGGCTCCTGGTTCAGGATTGGCTTAGCTCCAGCATGTTGTGGCCATTACAGGAATTAAACCACCAAATGGAAAATGACTCTCCCTCTCTTGTTTTCTCCATAACTGTCTTTCAAATAAAAATGATTAAAAAATGAATTTTGACACAACAACAAAAATTCTATGTCACACCCTTTTCTGCACCTTAAAAATATCTAAGGACTGCATTTTCCCCTATATATCCTATATTATTTTATCTTTTTCTTTATTTACTGCTATACATTTGGATAATCCTTTGTGTGGTTGCTGTTCTGTCACCTGTCACACTGGATTCAACCCCCAGCTTATATACTTTATAGTATATATACCAGAGTAAAAAACATGTACTTATCCTGTTTCCATTTTGCATAATCTGTTTTGATCCCACTACTCTTGGCACTGTATATAAAAAGAAAATTCTACCATGTGGGGAGCAAATAACCGATTGACAATCTTGTCTCCAGGGAAACTCTGCCTGAGCAGAGTGAGTGTTCTGGGGACCAAATTTGACTCCAGTCTTCCAGTTGGGCTTCACCCTTTGTGGAGCAAAAGTGGAAGAAATTAATCCTGGGAGGCTTCCTTTGGGCATCCAGCTCAGGTCTGCCACATGCAGGGCTCTAAGAGTCCCTGCCCCAACTCCGCCAGAAGATGGAGAATATAGCCCCTGTTTCTGTCACGTGTGGCATTTTCTCTGTGTGGAGAGGCAATTTGGTTAGCAGATGAGGCGAAACGGCGATCATGTACAAATAGATGACTTCTGCTGAGTTGGCAGGGGATTTAACAGACTCGCAATATTCCTCAGAAATTCTCAAATGGACTTAAATTTACACATTTCTATGGACCAAAAAATCTCTGCTGAGTTTTCTGTTTTGAATACAGCCAATCTTGCACCAAGCATGTTCTTGGGGCAGATTCGCCTATGCTTGTGTAGGGACCACAGAGCTGCCTACACTCACACCAAAATGACACTCTACGAGTGCCTTGTGTCACCAGGATATGCAAGGTAGCTTGGTGTGCAATGACTCTCTGGAGTCTGCACAGCCCTTCCGTGGACATAACGATGCCAGTTCATTTTCTCCTGAGTGTACAGACTAGATGAGTAACACAAATGCTAGAAGACAGGAGACAATGGAAGATTACTACTCGTGAGGGCCAAAAGACTTTCTGAAGCCAAGAATTTGAACCAGTTATGAGCTGAGGAGTACACTTCCCATAACTCTGCCTCCTGCTTTTAGAACTATCAGTGAGCAAAATATTCTTCTGTCTGAATCCGTGGAACTAACTGCTGTCCTCAAAGTGCCCCATTGATGGTAATTTTGCACGTATCCCCAAGGAAATTAAATTAAATAACGAATTCATGGCTTTGTGATTGAAGGAAGCCTTCCTAAATGTAAGTAAAAAATCGGTATGAGCAGTGTCACTCTATTCACATAGGAATTCCTTCCTGAGCAATTTATAGTAATTTTTATAAAGTACTATTCAGAATAAAAAGGCACTGTTAAATACATTAGCAGTGATAGCCATTAGAAATCATTTCCATTTCATTTCCTGGCAACTTAATAGAAAGGTATAATTTATTCTGAAATGTATATTCTGAGTAGAATGATTAATATCCTTCTTATTGTTAGGACATCTAGAACAAAATCTATTTGGTCTTTTTCAACTGTAAGAACATAGGCAGGTAGGTAATTTTCCCTTGAAGGACTAAAGAAAAATGGCTTCCTACTTTAAATAATATCAGAATCACAGAAATTTAAATTAGAGACTTCCAATAAACATTATTTATGAAGACAATTCTGAAATCTTCGCATAAAATCATCTTTTGAAAATGTCCCCTTATCCATAAACAAGAGAGACAAGGCAAAAATCTGTTAGCTGCATGCTTTAAGTAAGAGTAGCATGCTGACATGACTTGGAACTGGGGAGAGTGTATCCTCAAAATGCTAGTGGAAGGCAGGTCCTTTCCCCCTCATTAACAAGTATAATGTGTCTTCATGTCATTTAATGAGACTATTTTGCGATAGGAAAATAACTTCAAAGAAATAATTATGTCTGTGTGTTTGGGAGCTACTTCCAACTTGCTGAGATGCTTAGTTTTGCTTCTTTGTACCTTGTTTTTCTTGAAGATCAAAGTATCTGTGTCCTCCGGAGGTGACTGCATTCGGACATACAAGCCAGAAATCAAGAAAGGGAGCTACAATAATATTATCATCAACGTCAAAACACCTGTTGCTGACAATCTCCTTTTTTATCTTGGAAGTGCTAAATTTGTAAGTCAAAGCCTCTGTGAATGTGCATACTCAGAGATTAATTTTGGTAATAAAAAAGTATACAGTCTAAGAATATCACCTCAAACTTTTCTAATATAGCCTCTTAGACCCTGAAATTTCAAAATCTTATATGACATCATTCTCAAGAACCAAATAAGGCAAACGAAAAGAAGAAAATTCTTGACAGTGTTTAAGCATGTTCTCGTCCCTTTATCAGCATGTCAGTGTTTAATTTGAACCAAATTTTCAGATCCAGGTATTTAAGGAGAAAGGCAAATAGAAATTAAGCTTGCTTTAACTCTTCTCAAACTAAGAATTTACATTCCATTCAATTACAGAGAATTGCCATGCGAATGAAGTGAAAATGAACAGAGCAAATCATGTACTGATTACCAGTGAAAACTCTTCTTATTCATGTTAAATTTATGACTCAAACAGAAATGATGAGTTTATAAAAAAAATTCAGAAGGTTCTAATTCTTCGCATCCCCACCATTTGGATTTGTAGTATAGTCCTTCTCCAGAATACTCTGGCTTTTTAACACATCCAGCATGGCATTAAGTCAGTATTTGAAGTTCAGGTGGTTTGAGATCTTTTTGAATAAACATATATATGTTTTCAAAAGATCATTATTTTCTTATTTTAAAATTGCTCCTTTTGTAATAAGCAATAACAGACTCAAATGTTCATGTTTGTCTCTACCAAAAAAGAGTAAGAAAAGGTCTTTTTGTCTCACAAATTTAGTTAGAAGACAAGAAATGAGCACCTGTGCCTCAACATCATGGTCTGTCTTTTACCTTAAAAATGCAGTAATAAAATGTTGTTTTAATAATGCATAATGTTGTTACTTTAGAAACTTTGTCATGAGGCTTTAATTATTGGACAAATAAATGCAGCCTACTGAAAAATAGTTCACTGCCCTGCTTTCTGGGCAGTGATACCCATTTTGTATCTGATACCCATTGTTTCCCTGTTTCTGGAACTAGATTGATTTTCTGGCTATAGAAATGCGAAAAGGCAAAGTAAGCTTCCTCTGGGACGTTGGATCTGGAGTTGGGCGTGTGGAGTACCCGGATCTGACTATTGATGATTCATCTTGGTACCGTATTGAAGCATCAAGGTATCTAATGCAACAGCAATTAAGACAAATTTTAGAATGGGGAAGTTATTTTTAAGAAAACTGTGGCCATTTCAATTAGGCAGCTTCGTGTGTATATACATGCATGCATATGGCTTTCACGGACCATGTGCACGTGCACAGATGTGTGAGAACGGGTCACCTGTTCGGAAATGACATTTTATCCGGTAGGAATTAGGACTTTCAGCTGTTTTCACTCACCCTTTCCCTTCTGAAATAATAAAAGTACTGACATTCATTAAGAAAGAGCTAGAGCACAGGAGCTGACACTACTGCTGATCTTTGGTGCGTGCAATTCCTCTTCTGCAATACATAGTCCCTGCCTGCAGATATATGCAGAACCAAAATTCTGGTGTTCATATGCAGTATGTCAGCTCCACACAACCTGAAATGGGAAGTAACAGGATATTGATTCAATAATCTTGTCTTTAATCTTCCATTCAATTATTAACTTCGAGCAGCATTTAGATTACTTAAAAGACCATTTCTATCTTGTATACTTTCCTCTCATTTTCTCTTCTTTGGCCAATTTCCAACTCTCTGTTAAGCACAGAGCAGCTAACAGTTGGGAGGTGTTGCTGAGTACCTGGGGCTAGAAATGAAACCGACAGAGCACGGTAGGCATTACAGGATGCTCTGGTAGCAATGGAAAGTAAGTGAAGGATACATAAGTTTCATTCTCTTTGAATGAGTTTAGCTATTCCTGTAGTAAAATATGTAAAATAAAACTTAATGAGAAGCACTACTTTTAGTTCTTCAACTATTCAGCAAATTCGGATATGCCTGTGTGTGTGCTGTATGTATGAAAGAGGGTGAGACACTAAATGGATTTATGTGTGATATTGGGAGAATTAAATAATGTATAGGATTTAAGAGCATTTACACATAAAAACTATAGCCTTATATCAGAGTACATATAGCTTCATTTGTTAAGTTCATTCTTTTGTTACCATGTATTTCACATCATATTTTACCCTGAAAGAAAGATAGCTGAAGTGAGACAGGAGGGAGAAAAATAGAAAAATTTGTTATAACTTCTTGTCTCAGGAAACAGACCAGATTTTTGTATTTAACAACTTGTGGAAATAAATCAGTTAGAAGATAAAAAGAAAGAAAATGATACAGCTTTAAAGCTCTGTAAATTGAATTTATACTTCTTATATAAAATTTGTATTTACAATTCTGAAGACTGTACACATTAAGCTGCCATGTCCAACAATATAATACAATTCTAAGAAGAATATTTTAGCAATTGGGATCCAAGATATAGTAAGGGACTTTAAGAAAACTTTGCATCTTACACTATAGAAAGATGGATCCTATATGACTTGATTGCTGAATTGAACACAACGGAGTGCTACATGAATAAACTTGCTTAAATTGCACATGTTTATAAATAGTAAGCTATTTGGTAAAGCTATAAGAAAAATGCTTTCCACTTAAGCAACAACATTCCATCTGCTAATTACTGCTATGTCATTTCATATCAGTGCACACACACAGAATCAGGATATGTGCTTGCTGGTCTTGCTTGAAGCTGATGGCAATTATCTAGTGAAGGTCTGACCCCGTATCCTTATTCTACATTTCGTGTATCTGGAATGTTTTTATTTCTTAAACATTTCATTACATATCTGTGCATTTTATATATTTGTGTTAAAATTGAGTGTTCCCAGAAATGTGATTCATAGATGATTTTCTGTATTTTTTCTTCTTCTGTGTTTCAACATACACACCTGAAGGACTGGGAGAAATGGAACTATCTCTGTAAGAGCCTTGGAGGGACCCAAAGCCAGCATTATGCCCCGTACCTACCATTCCGCGTCTCCGCCAGGGTATACTATCCTAGATGTGGACGCAAATGCAATGCTGTTTGTTGGAGGCTTAACTGGGAAACTAAAGGTACTATATTTTTGTGCTTTCCAAGCCTGTTAATTTTATTGCTTATACAACCTCTGGCATGATTAGTTTGGCAGAAGCTGTGTTGAAGCTCTGTCAAAAGGTGACCATTGTTTATGTTTATGGGAATATAGGCTTATTTTAAATGTGATTCTTCTTAAAACTGTGAAAATTCAATCTGTAAACACAATATTCGTTAGCCTTTATGAGTTGGCTTGCCAATGCCCTTATCTGTGGCATTAGATGCTTTTGTATTCTTCTTTTAGTTGACTCAAGAGCAAAGTGTTTTTAAAGTATACTTCATTTTCTGAATCTGTTTATAATTTATAGGAATGAAGTGCTATAAAGTTCATACTTATGTATAATTAAAAGATTGATGAATACCTTGGGAAATATCACAGGAGCCATACGCTTTCAAATCATGATCTGATTTCACAAGTTTTCAAGTTACTATTCTCCACATTCTTAGAGAGTTATGCACTTAATAGTCATAATTGCTGTATGCCAGGTACTCGTGTATTTTAAATTGTAAAGTACCTGCATATTAAAGAAGCTTATGTTGATTATATGGAATTAGGTGTTTAAAATGACCTGTGAGAAGCAAGGGCACAATCAAATAAAATGAATAATCCTGGACATGTGACAATCACCCTGGGATGATTAGTCAGAAAATATGAAAATCCAGGGTCACCCGAAATTTATAAGAACTCAGCCTTCAGAGAGTGAGATTGTTTTACCTGCTTTGTATATGTGAAGTGACGCTGAACTCTGGGAACTGATTCCACTACTATACACTAAAGTCATAGTGGCGCATGATAACAGAGTGGTATTACTAACTGTCCTTCACATATGGGCAATACAGGAGAATCAGAGATTACCACAAAGGACACAGATTTTGAATTCAAACCCAGACAAATTCCCTCCTCTACCATTGTACTGAAACTTGATCCTTGGCAAGTCACTTAACCTTTGGCCTTCAGTTTTTTCAATTATAAATTGGGGATAAGAATGTTTACTTTGAGCAAGAGCTTTGTGGTACAGTCACCTCTTGAGATGCCTGCAGTCCATATTGAGCTGTTAGCTAGAGTTCCCATGACTCCACTTCTGATCCAGCTCCTGATAACACCCAGAAAGCAACAAACCGTGTTCAAGCACCTGGATTCCTGCTGTCCACTTGACATATCCAGTTGGAGTTCTAATTGCTGGCTTCAGCCTGATCCAGCCTCAACTGTTGCAGCCATATGGGTAGTAAAATAAGTGTTGGCAGTCAGTCACCGTCTTCTTCCTCTCCCTCCCCTTCTTGTCTCCCCTACCCCTTTTTACCTCTTCCTTCTCCCCCACTCGGTCTACCCATTCTGCATTTAAAATTTGATAAAAAGAGAAATTTGGCCTTTGTGGCAGATATTTAGTAAAGTCAGAATGCCTGGGCTCTTGTTCCCACTCTGCTTCCAATTTCAGTTTCCTGCTAATTAACACCCAGGAAGGCAGCAGGCGATGTGTTGGGCTTTGGCACTCACATGGCAAACCTGGACGGAGTTCCGGGCTTCTGGTTTTAGCCTGATGAAGCCCAACTGTTGCAGGCATTTGAGCGAATGAACAATTAACCTGCAAATAGCGTACTGATTCTGTGTGTGCCTTTCAAATAAAAACAAATCAATAAAACTTGAAAGCTCAAATATTACTGATATAATCATGAGCTTCTATGACATGTTAACAACCTTTACTGTGGGTTAACTCATGTTGAGTACACTCATAACTTAAAAAAAAAAATAGATGTTTCTATGTATCTGAAAGGCAAATTTTACAGAGAAGGACATAGCGGTCTTCCCTCTACTGAAATGGTTGCCAACAGCCGAAGCTGAGCTGATTCAAACCTGTGAGCTAGCAGCTTCCTCTGGGTCTCCCATGTAGGTGCAAGGACATGGGGCATCCTCCACTGCTTCCCCTAGGTCAGGAACAGAGAGCTGGGTATAAGTAGAGTGGTATGGGGTAGTAGATGGAGTAATGGGACATAAACTTGCAGCCATATTGAATTCTGGCACCAGGACAGAGGATTAGCTTGATGCACCATCACGCCAGCCCCAAACAACTGATATCTTAATCCATTTGAGATTCTCCCAGAAAACAAATAAAAAGACTGTATGATCCTGGGGCCAATAAATAATGAGCATTTTTTCACAGTGCTAGAGTTGGAAAAGTCCAGAAATAAGAAAGTAGCAGCAGAAATGGCTCCCAGTGAGGACCCTTTCCTCATTGAAAGCCTGTATGAGATGTGAACATGTCCATTTGGGCCTGCTTGTTAAGGGCAGTGATCTTTTTCATGGTGGCTCCACCCTAACCTTCCCAGTCTGATCATCTTTACAAATCCTGCTTCTTAGTAAAATCCCATTGGGAGTTAGGATTTAAAACATGAATTCTGAAGGATCTTAAGCATTTGGATCATAACAGAAACTAACACTTTCCTTATTTTATAAGTAGTTTGAAGAAGAGAGAAGACAAATGCTGCTTGAATCTGAACACAAATTAACAGACCAAGGCACCTGCACTCTTAGCATGCTAACTGCCACTGTGACTAGTGAGAGTATGTGAAAATAAATGACAAATAGCTGACATGTGATGGTCACACTTATACTGTGACCTTGAATAACCCTTAGCTTTATGTAGGCATATAAAGCTTTGGCACAAAGATACTTTATGTTAATCTCAGAAGGTAAGATAATGTAGGTGAACCAAATCTGGGAATCTTAAGAAATCATTTGTTAAGAGCTTCCAAGAAGTTCAAGGATTTCATTATACCATATGAGCCAAAGCTGAAAATAAACCAATGAACTTACTCATGAAAATTTAAATGAGCAGTAAATTATCTCAAGCATAGCTTCCCAGGCTGTGAGGAGAAGCAAAAAGCAAGTTGCATCCAGAAGTAGAATAAGCAACCTCTGGAAAATTAAAAGGCTCCGACTGGAGACAGAGCACTCCAAGGACCATTCTGACTTGTACATGTCAGTGACTCTGATCAGCATGGTTTCTGCGTGGCTGCACACCGTTTGATCATGGTCACAGGAGGATGGGGTTGCATTTGACCTAAAATTAAAACTGCAAAATTTTAGTTATTCAGTGTTGTCTCCTGAGCTCTGAAATTTGAACCTGACATTTTACAGTTTCTCCTGCGTAATTCAAAAAATATGGGTTTGCTTTGGCACAGATTTTCTAAAGCTGCAGGTAGCATATTGCGTGTTTGTAACCTCTCGATGCCAAGAAATGTTGTTTAAATTGCATCAAAATCTTCATGTGAACTAGTCATTCCCTTCCTCTGTGCTTACAGTAGGCATCATGCTTATGACCTTACATTATGACAAAGACACCAGGATGAGTTTTTGACAAGCACTTGTTGATTCTTTCTTAGCTAGAAGCTCTGTGCAGTCTATACAAACAACACTGGCATGATCCCTTAAGAAAAGTTTGTTTTTCTTCATTTAACTGAAAACTTGCTTATTTGTGGATGGGAATGAAAAGTTAGACTAGGAATATAATAGAACAAGTTCCATGCATCTCTTTTTCTCTTTCAGGTGTGTACCCATTCTTATGATGGCATATCATTAGATTTGTCCATATATGTATTTGTAGCCCTCATTTGTCCCTCACCCCAAAATGATGTAGAGGCATTAATGTTTATTGAATAGCTTTTCAAAGAAAGGCATTGAGTTGGGAACAACAAATTAGTTATTTAGCTTGCTTTCCAAAATAATCCTTTGTTACAGAAAAAAAAACTAGAATTGCAGAGAAATTCAAGAGGTCACATAAGGTCAGAGGCTAGGAAGTATTGATTTGGAAATGGTGATAAAATGGCTTATCAAAAATAACAGGTATCCATTAATGAAATTGTTGGGCTTTTGCCCTTTTGCTGATCCATTCTGACAATTGCTCTGGGAATATATTGTTAAGAAATGATAATGTGCAAAACCAAGAACATCAGAGTATGGTTGGTTCATACTCCAGTTGCAAATAACTGCTGGTAAGAAATCTCACAGACACATGATGGCTTTTATGACGTTCTTATTTCTGACAAATGTTTCTCTCTGCAGAAGGCTGATGCTGTGCGTGTGATTACATTCACTGGCTGTATGGGAGAAACGTACTTTGACAACAAGCCTATAGGATTGTGGAATTTCCGAGAAATAGAAGGTGACTGCAAAGGATGTACTGTCAGGTGAGTTGAGAACTTTGCCAACATCTGTCCTACTTATCAAAACAGATTCAGTGTTATTTTGTAATATTCTATTTTGTGGATGATGTGGAACATGATTGAAATGATTATTCTTGGAGGAGAATTTACCATGAAGCCACTGAAATTTCAGTAGCCTTTCTCCCACTGGGGATGTCCTTTTCAAAGGCACTAATAGGTGCTAAATCAGTGTTTTTGCACGGTCCTGTGTTTTTTATAAAATTTATAAAGAAGAGATTTTAACCACAGTCACTTAACACTATTTCTTTGTAATCTATCATCCTTTATGTTCAGGGGTGTTTGTGCCTGAGCCTGGTAGTTATGAATTTTTTTTTGTAAGATTCACTTATTTTATTGGAAACACAGATGTACAGAGAGGAGGAAAGAGAGGAAGATCTTCCATCTGAATATTCACTCCCAAAGTAGCCACAACGGCCAGTGCTGTGCTGATCCGAACCCAGAAGCCAGGAACTTCTTTCTGGGTCTCCCACGTGGGTGCAGGGTCCCAAGGCCTTGGGATGTCCTCTATTGTTTACCCAGACCACAAGCAGGGAGCTGGATAGGAGGTAGGGCTGCCGCGATTAGAACCTGTGCCCATATGAGATCCCGGCGCGTTTAAGGCAAGGACCTTAACCATTACACTTTTGCGCCGGGATCAGTCATGAATTTTTCTAAAAAATAATATTTCAGGGCTTCCTAAGTCTGTGCTCATTCCACTTCCCTTTGTAGCAAAATCTAGAACCCTTATCTGGGATTCATGTCATATAGGATATTTCAGATTGACAAAGTCCTACATGTGTGTCAAGTATAAGCAATGAGACATAAAAACTCTTTAGAGAATAATGAGGAGCCTAGTTAGTCCAGGAGAAAAGGACCTTTACACATGATTAATTATAAAAGTAACGTTGGAAGAATAAACACAGAAATCAAAAATGGGGAACAAATACTTTTATATAATCTTGGATGGAAGATACAAATCATTCACTAGAATTAGAGTTTGGCAACATTAAACAAAATAGAGCCCACTAATCAACTGAATCCAAAATTACTTTAATCATATTAAGTGAAAACTATAAAATGCAAATTAAATAGCCTGGAATTTATTATGATATGCAAGGTTATTCAAAGATGGTAACGAGTTTTCTAATTTTCAACTTAAAAGACACATGCACTTTGCCATGACCTAAATCTTCTGTTACTGTACCAGAGTATATTTCATATTTCCTTCTAAACAAGTCTAGAATTGTATGAGAATGGAGCCCAAAAATATAGCCTCTTTAAACATTCTAATTTCCAACTCTTTTTGACATAATGACCTTGTCACCATGGCATGGAAAATCGTTTGAAAGCCTGATCCATTACAGTTTAAGATGGTTTAGTCCTAAATCTTCAATTGAAAGCTAACATGGAAGGTTGCCTATGAATTTTTTAGCTACAACAAACAATATTCTGCTATTCACAAATAAATACCAGTTTTCCTTAAACATTTTTGTGCATTTCTAATTAGGATTTTTGAAAGCCTTTTTATCAAGAAAATATAAAAAGCATTTGATTATTTGTTCAGCATTGTATGGGATGCATAATTACTAAATCCCCTCCAATTCTGAAATGATATTCCACTATGTACATATAAAATGAAATTGATAAAGTAGTTACAGTAATCTTTCTATATTTACATAGTATATTTTGTTGATTGCAGAGGTTTACACACCTTTCTGATAATTAGTTGATTATAGTCCAGTCCCAAACATCAATGAAGTTATTGCCAGGGAGATAGGAAATGACAGCTATTAAAGTATTCAAAATGCAAATTATAATAAAAATTCTTTAAAGAAAGATATACTCTACATCTGATATTATTCATTATCTGGCTAATAAGCCAGTGGGAAGTGGAAAGCGTTCTCATCCCACATACAAGAGGAAGTGACACTAGGCTATTTGTAAAGCCTGCATATTATCAGAAAAGGATTATTGGGGATGTACTAATATATAGGTTAAAGAATAAGGAAATATTGTAAGATGTTGTGGCCTTACATATTTGCATACAGTTCTCCAGAGCATATTAATGTTTTGTAACACCAGGCAAGAGTAGGTAAATACCAGATCAAACAACAAGCTGAAGACACCAGGTTCAAGGGTACTGTGACCACACATGCAGCCTACACAAGTTCCTATTCTTACAGGCACTGGTCTACCCTCTATCTTGGACTAGCTCTGTATCTTGCAAGTGTTCATTGCCCAGCTCCCCTCCATCACTGTGCATTTGACAACACTGATGCCACTCACCAGTCAGCAGCATCAGATGTTCTGTAGATTCTTGTCATTAAATTACCTTTAAGTTTCCCTGGGAAGTTCTATAGTTTCTAAAATGACTCCATATTTTAGTTCTTTCACATACACTTTTGAGCGATACTAATATTTAATCAAAATTGTAATGGATTTTGTGGGTATTCTGATTACATAGTTACATACTTTGAAATACTATATCTCAGCCAATTTGTAGATATATTTTTAATGGAGTTCCTGGTATGTTCTTTTAATGAAAACATTTGTATTATCATACATGTATTTATACCATATGTTTATATTTAATATAAAGACCATTCATCCAGTTAAAGACAATTTTATGCTAAGTATATGCATATTTTAAAAACTATTAATATATCTTAAGAAGAATCTGTTGTTATGCTTTAGAAAGAATAATCTGACAAGGCTATAAATGATATATTTTATTCTTCTGGAATTTCGGAAAATCACATTAAAATTAAAATCACAAATAGTGCCGCAACCGAAAATGAATTTAGTTGAAAATTAGAATCATGAGGAGCCTTCAATACAAGGAACTTTCAAATAACAGAAAATTTTCAGTTAACAGAAAATGCATTTAAAATCCAAAGGGTTTCAAAAATTTCTACACTAAAACAACTTAATGAATTTTCACAATTTAAACATTTTTACTTTCCAAAATATTTATTTTCATCTACTTTAAGACAAGAGCATCAGGGAGACAGAAATCCTGCAATTGCCTACAGCAGTAACAACTTGGTTCCAGGAGAAGTTGGGGTGTTGTTATTCAGTATGGGTATCCGATGTGAGTTGTACTGACCTGTGCACAGGATCCATCTTCTGTTGCCTCGCAGCATGAACCAGTAGGACGCTAAATCCGAAATGTAATAGGAGACTTGAGCTGGCACGCTAATGTTGGATGTGGGAGGCCCAAGCAAGGTTCTCATCTACTCTGCCACCACACCCTTCCCTAATTTTGGTTGTTTTAGTTGTTTGAGACAGAGTTCCCCCTGCATGTTCATGCCCCAGATGCCCACAGTGACTGTATGTGGGGTCAAGGAGACGAGAACTCAATCCCGTCTCTCTTATGGGTGACAGTTCTTAACCATCCCAGTTTTCTCCCCAGCTTCTCCATGAACAAGAAGCAATACTCAAAAACCATAGCTGAGTTTCAAACCCACTCTCAGGTGAGATGCAAATATCTTATCCACCAGGCCAAACACTACTTTCCCCAAAAACTTTTCAAAGTACTCTCCTACCCTAAATTTGATATACATCTAGCTGTATAGTGAACAATTAATATGTAAGAATATGGAATTCAAAAATGGCATAATTTTAATCCAAGTAGTCTATTATCTACCTTTTTAAAAGCAGAAAATGAAGCTCAGCTTTTACTCTTTATAAAAGAGTAACTGTATGTCCTTGAAAGTGTTTCAAAGTTAGTAGAAAATATCCTGTACTGAATATTCAAATATTATTGAATATACCTGAAAAAGTATTTCCCCATCAGATTTGGCAGCTGAAAGCCAAATTCTGCATGTTTTGGCTTATATAAGCTAATGTGTGACATAGACCGATCTCTCTCTGTCTGCTAATCCCCACACAACTCCTCCCAACAGATTTTTTTTTTTTGCTTGAATACAAGCATCTCATACCATATTAGAATGAAAATGGGCCTTGGAAATAGCCATTTCATCTCTTTGCTGAGAAATTGATATCTGAAGTGTTGACTTTGTTTTCTTCTATTTTGTTTTTACTTTTATGCTACAATTCCATAAACTCTGGGATTTCCCCTACCCATTCCCCATATTCCATCTCCCCAACTTAATACTATAGTACTTCATGAACAGCCCTAAATCCATCATCCTGTTAGTTAAGTGGCATTGCTGGCACGGACAGTGGCAGGTAGTCCCACATCCTATTGTTAAGATATAGCCAATAGTTTCATTGACAGTCCATCTTTAATTTGTACTTAGATATGCATACTGTATTGTATCCTCACATCTGGATATGATAGTCTGTATATTGCACAGTTACAATTATATATTCTCCTAAATAAGAAGCCATGAAACAAAATCAAGAGCAGAAATAAAAATAAAACAAGACTTATAGCACCATGGAGTTAAGGAACAGGCTATTGAATAATCAATGTGTCAATGAAGAAATGAAAAAGAAAACACAAATGCTTCTTGGAGAAAATGATGTGACTATGTGAGCTATGAGTCAGTGAAGAATTTTAATAAGAGAAGATCTATTCTGAAGAAATGAAAATAAACACTATCAAAAATCATGGGATGCAATAAAAACTGCATATCTGGGAGTGGGCATTCAGTGTAGTGGTTATGGTGTCTCTTGGGAAGCTCCCCTCACATTTTAGAATGCTTAGGTTCAAGTCCTGACAGTATCCCTGTTTCCTTCCGTCATGTACCCCAAGAGGTGACAGTGACACAGGAGACCCTTCCGTCCAGCTTGGGCCCAGCCCCATCCAACTCCAGCTGTTGGGGACATTTAGGCAAGGAACGTAGAGAGGAGAACAAATCTTTCTCCTTCTCTTTCACTCCCATAAAATAAACAAGTGAATTTTTTTTAAAAAAGAAATTCCACATGAAACTACAGGGGACTGTCATCTCATTAACTGTCTTTTTCTATTGTATATTGAATAAATTAATAAATTAAGGGACCTAATTATATCTAGATATAAATGTCCAGAGGTTTTGTATAAAAAGATGAAACATGGTATTTTTATTTTGACTCCCACTGTTTACCTTCACATTGGGTAACAAAGTTTTGTTTAGATTTTTAATTTTTATTATCATTTATAATATATACAGCAAAATATCTAGAAAACTGTTGTCAGTGATTCCCATAATTCTTCTCTGGGTTTTCATTGGTAAAATATCTGTAGAAAATGCAAAATCTTAATAGAAACTTGAATGAAATTCTACTAACTATATTTTATACAACATTTTATCTCTAATTCAATGTTCCAGATATTAATCCACTCATTGTCATGATGAAGGAAGACTAAGGTCGATTTATTCACTATGATTTATATTTTTAATAGCCCAACTTGATTCCTAAGTCTTTGAATTAACATTTTTGCAAGTATTGAAAAAGCATATCTTAGTGTTATTGGAAAAAGTACTTCAGGAACTCACCATGTGTTATAAAATTTTAAAAATTCTATCATGAAAGACAAAAATCCAGCTGCTTGCCTGCCTTTTGTCTCTGGTGATTCACTTCTGCTTGGTCCAGAAACAGAGAAAAAGCCATTTTGTGTAAGATGCATAACAACTGGTTCTCTATGAGCCCATTAATTTTTGTAAATTATTTTTCTCATTAGCCAAGAATTAATGAAACTAATATCTTGCCCCTTGTTATTTTATACTGATATTACCATAATATTTCTCAATTACTCTTCCTTATCAAATTAACATAAGACTCCAATTTCAGGGATTCAAATATATGCTAATATTCAAATATTTAAAGTCTGAAAAAATATCCTCACAATGAAGACTTATTCCAAACCATTGCATAGTTAAAAAAAAATAAATAACCACACAGTTTGAAATAGTGTTTCTAAATGTTGTATTCACCTGAATCACTTATATTTCATTAATTATTCAACCAATATTGATTGAACATGAAGCAATTTGCTGCACTAAAGTCACTAACTTACAAAGCATTTACTGGATTATTTGAGGCGAGTACATAAGATGCTGAGTTTGTGCCTGGCATAGGGAAAAGCCTGCTGCAGCCTCTGGGTGCTCTCGCAGGGTTTAAATTTTTGAGAAGAAAACAAAGTTAAAAAACCATAGAAACCAAGTACTAGTATCATTTATTGTCTGATCTGCTCTGCTTTAGTAGAAGATCTTTTGGATGGCAGATGTTCGAAGAGTAGGAAATGTGGTCTGTACAGTTCTAAAATTGGGGACTGTCTTGTACATTCCCAACCCCTCCAAAAACTCCTCCACTTCTGGAAAATTATCACAAAGTTATGCATAAATATCAACATCAATATAACTCTGCACCCTTTATTTTTTTTAAACATAAAACAGTTAAATCACATATGTCATCACTTTTGAAGACTTAAATGAAATCAAGGCAAGAGGGGGTTGTTACCTGGTCCACTGTGGTAGCAGAAGTGGAGATAAGCGAAGAGACCAAAGATGGGGTTCATGATGGTTTCCCCACAGCAGGCTGCAGCCTACTCCCAGGGGACAGCTTGAAAAATGACAGACTAGGCCCAGCATGGTAGCCTAGCGGCTAAAGTCCTCGCCTTGCATGCACTGGATCCCATATAGGCACTGGTTCATATCCCTGCTACTCCATTTCCCTTCCAGCTCCCTGCTTGTGGCCTAGGAAAGCAACCCAAAGTCTTGGGACCCTGCACCTATGTGGGAGATCTGGAAGAGGCTTCTGGCTCCTGTCTTTGGACCTGCTCAGTTTCAGCTATGGGGGCCACTTGAGGAGTGAACCAGCAGATGGAAAATGTTTGTTTCTTCTTCTCTGTGTATATTTACCTTTCCAAAATAAATAAATAAATCTTAAAAAAAAAGAAAAGAAAAATGACAGACTAACATGATATGATCTCACTGTATGAAATCTCACCTTCAGTCCTCAGGTGGAAGATAGCGAGGGGACTATTCAGTTTGATGGAGAAGGTTATGCCATGGTCAGCCGCCCCATCCGCTGGTACCCCAACATCTCCACTGTCATGTTCAAATTCCGGACATTTTCTTCAAGTGCTCTCCTGATGTATCTGGCCACACGAGACCTGGTAAAAGATCACGTACATGATACATGTTCCAATAATTGTATTACTTTTTTTGTGAAGTATCAATCATTAACTATTGATAAAATTATCAATTATTACTTAAAGTCTGAGATGACTGACAGCTAAGAATGTGTGATATAGGTAGTACTTATGAGTCCTCATTGACAAATATAAATTTGGTACCTACCTTGGGCATAATTGCTTATAGAATCTTTCAAGAAAAGCACCCTGTGAAGATTTTCCCAGTTTAGTAATTTGCCATGCAAAACTACTTCTGTAATCTTTTAGAGACCTAACTTCCAAGATGATTAAATATGGCTTGTCCTTTTTCACTTTTGGAATTAGTGTTTCTTCGTAGACTCCTTAAGGGAAACCATCTTTAAGGTTCCATAAAATATTTCCAAAGCAACCTTCTTTGTACTAATGAAACAAAAGTCCAGAGCTAGTAATTCAGTTTGACCATTGCATGCCTTTACAACACGCCCACAGAATTTCACAAAACAGTGATGCCAATTCTGCAATATTTTCTTGCAAACCTACATTCATCAATTTAGCCTTTAGATATTACTATCAAATCCAAAAATGGAGAGACTGCCAATTTATACTTTTGTATCTAATCACCTTTTGTATTTTTCCTATATTAATAGAAAGATTTCATGAGTGTGGAGCTAACAGATGGATACATAAAGGTCAGCTATGATCTGGGTTCAGGAATGACTTCAGTTGTCAGCAGTCAAAACCATAATGATGGGAAATGGAAATCATTCACCCTGTCAAGAATTCAAAAACAAGGTGAGTTTTTATAGGAATAATGCAGGATGTGCCTTAATCATGCTATCTAAAGCACCCACGAAACTCATCAACAAAGCAACTTTTTTTCTATAATTGTAGCTACTCACAAGTTCTGTGAAAATAGATGCAGTCATTTCTTTGGCTCAGATTCTGAGTAGTTTGGATTAGCTATGATTGATTGAAGAGCCAAATGCATCTCTGTCATTTTTCTTTTGAAACTGAGAGCTTAATTTGAAGGCATAAAACTGTCCTATAACTTGTAAAATTATATCCTATAATAGGTCTGAAAAATCTTGTGTGCTTATCTTCTGTCTGTATTTTGCCAAGATATTTCCTTTAAAGCAGCCCACAGTAGAATTTTTAAGGCTGATAAGGCATGGGTGTGCCAATAGCTCTTTGTTCCTTAAAAGTCTCAGGAATTACTGTGAGTGCAAGTATATAATTATGTGGCATATTTATTGTTCTAGGACATTTTAAAACCACTTTCGCAATATTATTTTATTTGATTATGTGTTTTGTTCAGGTATCACAGAAAAATACGCTCTCAAACAGGTTTGTGTCATAGACATGTACATATTTAGATATATATATAATGTGCTCATAAAATTAATATATATAAATATAATCTCATACCAACACAGATGTGTGAGTCTATTAGTTCTGATAATTAATCATAGCTATAATTTCCCTAATCCTGTGTGTTGTGGTATTGCCAATATTTACCAAAGGAACTCTAACACTTCTTGTTCATTTAAGTAGACCTAATGCATATAAAAATATTATTGTGACATTCTTTGAAAATTTAGATTAGAATATATATTGTATTTTCTTCCTGGATTCCATATTTACCTACTGAACACTGTGCAAGGTCAAAGTCAAATCTAACACAGATCCATGCCTTCAAAAAGCTTCTAACTCTCAAGGGCAGATAGGCAAGTAGTATAATTACCTTGATAGAAACCTATAGGCAGCAGACTGAAGAGACATAGAAATCAGACTTCAGCCTATGGGGGGCCTTGATGCGTAAGTATGAGGTGAAGAGTGAAGTGCTTTAATTCAAGTTACGGATATATCAGAGCAGTGAAGGCATATGCAACCTTGGAGGCATCACACAACATAATACATCAGAAGCAAGAATAATAACAAAAAACAAAAATCTGGAGAAACATCCCAACTAGAAGAAAACCTGGATATGTGCCTGTGTGTAAATTGCAGCATCACCATATACATTGCTCCCAAGTAAGAAAGTTGCAATGCACATTTGCATGTCACAAGCCTTGCACAGGTGCTCAAAAAAGAACTTTAACTTAGTTTTCCACAATTTCCAAGCTTCTGCCTTGACAAAAATTCTTCCATTCCGGAATTACTAATATACTGCTAAAATTTCCCTCTAGGAGATGCAAATGTGCCTCAAAAATTCATGGAAAATCAAACTAAACAATACATTCATCTTAATGAAAGCATTTTGAAATCCATGTGTAAGAGTGCATCAGAGAATCCCTGAAAAATGCATATTATGAAAACTAGATATTCACTTCAAAATTTTCACAGAAATAAGCTTATCTTTTAAATCCATTTCTCTTTAACCTATGGAAGTATCCTCTCACCTTACTAACTACAAGTGAATCCATAGGCTAAACAGAAAAATGCTGGCAGAAAATTGGCTGAGACTAAAGGATGATGAAGCTGGTATGTGAAAGGGCCTTTTGATATCGGTGAACGAGTTAAAGCTATTTCCTCAAAGTTATCAGGGAGTTTAAGAGCTTTAATCAAGGATGTGACACCCTCAGATTTGTGCTTTAGTGATGTTTCTGCGGCAGTAGCTTTGAGGATAGATTTGTGACCATTTTGAATACCACTGCAGTCTGCAGAAAACAGGCAAAGCGTGAGGAGAATGAAAAATAAGTCAATAATCACAAAAATGGAGAGGATGCTAAAGATTTTACAGGTATTAAGCATCTTAAAAGTAAAAAATTTACCTGATATTGAAGTTAAGCTAAAAGCACTATGTAGAAATTTTTTCTTGCATAGCAAGAATATATCAGTGCTATTCACCAAGCTATTGAATACAGGAAAAAAAGTTTTTTTTCTGCAAAATAGGTATGTTCTATTTTTAACATGTTGTATTGAGAATATTTTCAGTACCTTTAGCAGGAAAGCTGTGTAATTGGCAGGCAATTAGTTAAATGTATTTGAGTATCAGTAAATTTCTAAGATACAAATGAGTAACTAGAAATTATCATATTATAAACAATTGTACCTGAATAGTAGTAAGAAAAACCAGCCATCAAATCTAGAGTACGAGGTTGCAAAGCTCTGGAGTACGCTTGTATTGAACTAATACAGTAGAGGAAAATTTCACAAAGGGAAAAAGCAATTTTAAAATGGAGGAAAAATGAATCCTTGAGAAAATACTGCCTCATGGTAGCAAGAAGTGATCAGGAAGATTGGTAAAAAGGAAATATTGAGGTCATTGGAGAATTTGGAAAGAATGCTGATGTGGTTACCCGGAAAGCCAAATGCTCGGGGAAATCAAGGAAAGTGTGCACGTGTGTGGATTCTAAAGAAGTTTTGCTCTGAAATGCACAAGGCAGGCAGGCCAGTCATGAAGAAAAGAGATATGGAAATAGAAGGCAAGAATAATAAGGTGAGGTACCATGTTGTTTTTCTCTACAAGTTCCCAGAACATATTAATTATCAAGTGTTTTTTGGATGAAAGAACAAAAGACTCTTGATCATGGTTATAGGCTAAGGAAGAAGTTTCAGGTAAAGAGGTAAGAATTGGAAATAGCAAATTTAAAAATAAAGTGGTTGATGGTTCAGTATAGTTTTTCTTTTTATTCTATAATTAAATTTCTAATCTTTATTTTTAAAATTATAAATATATAAATATTTAATAAATATTATAATACATAATCTTATAATTAAATTATAGGTACTTGAAACTAGAGACAAATTGCTCAATGGGAAACAAATACTTCCTCCTCTCCAGTACAGGAAGAAGAGAAGGAGGGACAAACGAAGGTGAGAAGAATTTATAGGTACAGAGATTCTGAGATAATTCCCTCAAGATCCACCATTGCTTTTCATTGAAATTACAGGTAGAAAATTGATTATAGGAAAAGGTGGCAGGTAACAGAATAGCAAGCTTGAGGAAAGAAGGAAATAACCAATGTGCTTTGAGAAGAAAATAAATGAAAGAAACTGGAGATTGGATTGGACCATCCAGTGTTTTAAATTCTAGTTAATAATGAGTTAAGTAAATTTGTAATATAAAAAACAGAGGTATAATGATCCAACAATTTAAAATAATTTCTATTAACTGGTATTTCCTTGAACCTGTTAATTGCTACAATTACTCAGCTATCTGAAATTTTATTCTGTCCACTGAAATTATCAAAAATGTTCATGATGTGAAACTATTGATCAAAGGATAAAAATGGTACATAGATTTTAAAGTAGTTTATGTTGTGGAGAGTGTTAGGGATCACACCAGAACCAAATGTAGGCTGCTGGGATTGTCTTCATTGCACAGGCTTGGTGACAGCAGCTCCCAAGCTACTCCAGGAGACACTGCACCATAAAAAATCAAGGATTGTAAAGCTTTAACTCTCCAATCAATTTAAGAGCCATACAGAACAAAGTTTCCATGTGCAGCAGGCAGGAAGGGAACTGCTAGATCCCAAAGTCTTCCTGCAGTTAACCAACCTAAACTATCGCAATAGAATGCAGGAGGGGCCCAGTGCAAAACCTCTGGAGTCATTTCTACACTGTCAATTAATTTGAATTATCTAGAATGTCATGAGAGGAAGTAAGAAGCATCGAATGTGGAAACTGTTTCCACCACTGTAAATTAACCTAACAGAAGAGTACTAACCATCAACCAGATGCACCCCCAGTTTTGAAATACCTCAAAATTCATAGTTTCTTCTATAGCTAATATTTTAGATTTTACCAAAGTCACATTGCTATTATTTTGTGGCACAGAATTGGAGAAAAAAATATTCTATGTCTTAGCCCATTTCTTCATTACTGTTCTCTAGGTCCATCCTTCTGAAACAGTAGATGATACCTATTTTTTTTTTTTGTATGTATCCTTGGCCTTCAAATTGACTCTAGCCTTAAAATGCTTTTTGCCTTCTTAAAGCTATCCAATGTTGCCTGTCATTCTCACTTTTATTTTAGATCTGAATTTCATGAAATATAGTGTTTTCTTCTTACATGTAGAAAATGTAAAGATACGTAAAAGCAAGTATTGTTTGAATAGATATTGTACTTCATTTGAGTTGAAGTTGAAAGTTTCAAAGCACTGGTGGGAAAGAATTCTGGCAAGGACAGTGTCACAGAAGGCCTTGTAAACTCCTAAAAAGTTTGGAGTTCATTTTTGATGAGTTCTTGGAGAGTCTTAAGTATAGTTGCAACAGGAGTAATTTCAGCTGAAGCATATTAATCTAGGTATCAGTGTGGATGAGCTATTTTCAGAAGACAAAAGTAAAGGTAGAGTAACCAGTTAGGTTCAATAATGATAGTCCATGAAGAATATGAATCATGCTTGAAATAAGAATTGCCCTGGGATCCAGCCTCAGGGAAATATATAAAAAATGCACAATGATATCATTGCAAAGTTATTAGAATGTCTGGAACTTGAGACTGACCTTAACCAGTGCTGACAAGGATGTGGAACAAGTGGAACTCTTTAGAACTTATACTGTTTTTTTGAGCAGCTGAGATACAGAGACCAGAGAGCTCTGGTTTACTTCCCAAATGATTCCAACTGCCATGCATGGCCCAGGGCGCGGTGTGAATCTAGAGAGAAAACTCTCCAGACCTCCAAGCTAGAGGTGGGAGTCAAACCAAGCACTCCAGTGTGGAACACCAGAATCTTAACTGCTGACTGCATGCCCACTTCTGGACTATTACATGCTGCTATTGACCATGTAAAATGGCACATGATTATTAAAAGCAGATTGGTATATTTTTCAAAGTTTGAATGTATACAT